GTTACTGTTCGGTCCATTTGGCAGAGCCTTTACACAATGACGAAGCACTATCCTATATAGCCTATCGCTATTTATCTTCAATCTAAAGTGTTACCACGTAGCACGATCAGGCCAGGCCGGCCCATCCCTCACGGCTAATCGACCGTTCACAACCGAGATTAATAAATGGCGCTTAAAATTTCAACCTTTTTTCGGCTAAGCTAATGGTCCAAATATAATTAGCTATTTTTTATCGCCGATTCTAACAGGGAAATTTATTATTGGTCTTTTCTCTTCTGTTTACTCTGTGGGAGTGAATTATGATTTTGTTTTTCTGTTTAGATGGATTCAATTACTTTTTGTAAAATATAAAATACCTTAAAAAATATATTATCAATATAAGTGCGCCTAGAGCATGGTGTATAGCAAAACGCTGAATTGTTTATTCTTTAATTTTCACCCTTAAGAGTGAAATTTTACTTATGAAATTCGAATAGGATCTCACCTAGCTTGGTTTTCAGGGTATAGAAACAAATTTGTACAAAAAATGAATGAGTATCAAACGTTAAATAGTAATACTGTAACTTATACAAACTTTTTGAGTGAATAAATGATACTGTTTCAAATAAAAAATAATTACCTTAATAGGTACATAAATGACGAAGTTCTGATTTAATAAACGTAAAAAGTCGAATAACCTCCGCTTGTTTTTGAACTCAGTTGAAAAGTAGATTATTGTCATGGTACTACATGGTATTACTTGGTTTCTTGCGACTGATGTTGTTGCACGTGGTAGTTTCTATTTAGAAGAATTTCCGTTCCATACATAGCCATGTAAGGAAAATCTTAGTATACTTAACCTATGTTTTGCCTTCAATTCCGTTTTTCTAATGATAAAAAAAGATTGAGAATCGGACCCACAACACTCAGCGTAGTAGTAAGCGGCGTGGCGACCGCTTAAACCACTACGCCATCCGTGCAGTCAATCAAAGTTTATCTCTCTGTACAAAAGAATGATTATATTTTAAGGAAATTACTTGTGATGTTGCCCGACTTCAAGTAATACATACTTGGTTGCTTCTTTGTCACGTAAAATTATATTCATTTAAGTTATTTGGTGTTATATAAATGAATAACGCTAGTATTGATGGCACGACAACAAGGTATCACAATTTTAATTTATCTAAAGGTCACATGTTAGGTATGAACATTACAGTCGAGTGCACATTTCACGGCTAAGAATAGGCTAATACTTTTTTAACCCACACCGATAGATGAGTTGACTCCCTTCGAAGTTTGTAGCCTCGATTTTACCCCCATATTACCTGACCGACTTCTGACTAAAACAGTAATAAAATAGAATAATTTCTTTTTAAGCTTCTGTTGTTTTTGTTATAAATATTTTGTGGAAAAATGTCAACAGCAGCGGCAGGTAAATGTATCACAGATATTAAGTGGGAGGGTAGAAGAGGTTACCCATCTGCTATGTCATAAATCAAACACTGCGATATGCTCAGATTACCAGAAATCCGCGCTGTTAAATGTTTATCATGACATTCTCATATACTTACGTTTAATATATGGTAGTATATACTCGTATAGTATCTAGTATAGTAGATATATATAATCGAGTTTGAACAGGTGTCTGTGAGAAGTATACCACTCATCTCTCTGGTTAGCTGGCTCTTGTTTTCCCTTACCGGTGAAAAATCTTTAACAGCCAATATCGGGACAGTTATTCGAACTGTGGAAATTACTCTTGTTATGTTATATTCGTGTAACTCCTGTGGCTGTTTAACTATTGGGCTCTGACTGCATTAAAAATCTTAACTGGTCTTAACTAATATCATAAACGTGAATGTGAGTTTGTTTGTCCGTTACGGTTTTACACCGTAATTACTTAACCGATCGTCATGGAATTGCATTTACACGTTAAGAAGAATACTGTAAAGGATATGAAATCAGTTGGAACACCAAGTAGCATTTCTAAATGTAATTTCTTACAGGTATTTCCTCCCTATTAACCCCCGCAAAAAATACAAGTGCGTAGATAAACTAAATTCGTAGTTCCCTCGCAGTACGGCATTTTATGATTATACCTTCGAAATAAGGTGGCACATCTCTTTTTGAATATATATACAACAGGCTTTTATGCATTATTTTATAAATATTTAATGAAAAGCGATGAAATAACAAGCACAATATTTTTCATTGTTTATTGAATTTTGAATATAATATCATTATATGTAGGTATTTACAATAGTAGGTATTCGAATGTTCACTACAATAGAATTCCATATTTCTACATAATATATATAAATAAAGGATAGTTACACAACCAATAACCTCCAACATTACACAGACATCATTATGTAGGTATTGTAGAAAGCGTTTTAATCTAATTCATTTAAAATGATCTACAATTAAATGAACAATTGTGCCGTTTAAATGAACAAAAAAATAAATCAATTTATGTGTACATTCAAGAACATATAAATTTATAAAAGTAGAAGCACTATTGTTTAATTTACTGTTGTCGTTTTTTCGGCAGTGATTACTTATGTATTCTCATGAATTTAACGATACATTTAATTATAATACGTATATTTAATATATAAATTAGTGGGTTGCGATGTATTTAACCATTTTATAATATTTAATTTTATATATTTCTTTGGTATACATAGCATGATATTTTATTTAATAGCTAAGAAATTATTCTTCTTTTCTTAATAAATAATGTTATTACGATTTTTATATATGATAATTTATAAATTGCTCATGAAATGCACATCAATGTTATACATATGTAAATTTAATTTTTAAAAGGCCAATGACTACGTGACTTATAAAAATTAATTTACAGGAAATTACTACTTTAACTAATATTTTTAAAATGTGATTCAAAAGAATCTGGTACAATGACAATAAGGACGGCTATGTATCATAATAAATGTAAATAAATGAAAAGACCATACAAAATTTGGTGTCAATAATAAATGAGCAATTTCGATTTAATGGAAAATGGGGTTATTTGTATATTGGCTATTATACCTGTAATATCGCATTTTGGCACAGTTTATATCGCTTTATCATATAATATAATATGTCACTATATAAATATTCATATAAATCTACATTATTAAACCGAACATTTATAGATAATATCTACTTAAATATGACAATATATCTTTCAACGGTAACATTCATAAAAAGCTGTGACACATATACATATAAATATTAAATAAAAATGTAGACAGGTATTAAATGAAAGAAACAAAAATAATTTTTGTATTTTTTTACTTTTTTATCACATGGATTACACAAATCTCAAATCAATTAATCAGACTTAAAATCGTCAATTCCTTAATCTCGCATTATAACATTGCAACAGTATTGTTAACTTTAAATGTAATTAGTAACAGTTTAAAGTTACATTTAATGTGGTCAAGACTTTGGAATATGACGAACACCTAACATCATAGAACAAAAAAAGAGATTTATTTAAAAAAAAACAGTATTTAAAAACAATTATTAACACGCCACAAATTTTATTGAGCAAACAGTTGCCATAATTGAAGAAAAACGTTAATAATTTTATTCAAAAAACATTTTTTTTGTCATTTTAAGACACGATTATTGTATGCACTTTACTTTGATAAAACTACAAGCAAAATTAACATCGGAAGCTCAACTTTTAAATTACAAACTGCCGACCATTTAAATAGACCGCTACACTGGAGTCATAACTTTCTTTAACAAGGGGTCTAGTTAAACTGGTTTTTTTTAACATGTAACATCGTTTTGATATGTTTTATGTACTATATGTTATTTTAGGCGAATTCGCTTTATTATTTTCATAAGATTGTGTCAATATCAACAACCCTTTTTCATAATATGTATATGCAAGTACTTAATCTATCTATTTACAGTTACAATGCATACGACACCAAAAATAAGGTAACGTTATACTATGCTACTCGAGATTATATATTTAGGCCTACCCACATTTCCAAAAGTAATTCCAAAATGTGTAAAATAAGACAATTTCAAATTTCAATAAAAATTACAAAAAAAAAACTGTATTTTCATTTAAACCAAAATGTAACCTTTTTATACAAAACCTCTAGATCACATTCGATTAAAACAATCAGCTGCATTACTATACATATTATTACGTAATAATACTAACAGAAACAAAAATATACAATTAATAAAACTTACTAAAAATATATAACAGCCCCTATCATTTTACTATTCAATAGTAAAATTGTTCATTAACTATTCTATACAATAGTTTATATAAATTAGGTTATGGTACGTAAAAGCAGTGTCAAAATTCAATTACAATAGTCAATTATCATCTTAATAGTAAGGACCAACGATAGTTTTAGTAATAAATGCGCTGGTCCCAGCCATGCACATTATTTTCGAGACAATTACAAAGTTGCCAATGAAAAAATACAGTAAAGAAATGTTGCTCGTTCAAAAAAATCATACAAGCATTTCCAAATTTAAATTTGTATTGTCTATGCACCATAATCAAAACTTATTTTGAAAATAGGTAAAATATGGTACTGTTTTAGTATAGTAGAGTTCACTGAATAAATTTGTAGGCCGCATAAATAATGTGCATCCAAATTAATGTAATTCTAACATCCAAAACTAATTTAAAATATCGATTTTCGATTAAAAATTCGAGTAATATCATCAAAACATTGTGATTTTTATTTTCCAACTAATTTTGATTCCACACATCAACTGCTTCAAAAAAACGTTAGTACAAAAAATGCTAGAGTAACAGACACCTAAAATATTCTACTTTTTGGTTTTTGCACAAATCCAAACGTCTTACTTGACTGTCGAAACATTTTTCTTTACAAGACATTTAGATTTATTTAAATTTTCCATTAGTATAGGAAGATCATCTTCCAGGAAGACAATGCCGTGAATATCGCCAATACTTCATATCGTCAACATTTACTTCGATTGTTGGAAATCGAAAGTTACTTACGTTACTTTCACAATTCTTCAGTTGACGCTATAGGGGCTTTCAAGAGAGGTGTACGGGGACTCCTTAAACCGTCTGAGCTCCTGGTACCAGCTTGAAAGTCTTCATTCGACAAGGAGGCAGGTAAAGGCGCAATCTTCAGCTGGTGTCCGTTTAACTTGATCTCTGTAATGGAATGTGATCTGCCATGGTTGACGTTGGGTTTCTCCTTGTTGGTGGTTGTCATGGGGTCGTGGGTTGGGGTCTTGGCTAACGATTGGGTGACTCTGGTCCTGTTAGATTGTTCTCGTAGTGCCATTTGGTACGCCACTTCGAAAGCCTCGCCAAGAGTTAGGATTACTTCCGTCGCTTGATCCTGGAATGTACGATTTTAGGTTCAGATTTCTAATTATTAAAAGACTTACTTAGTTACTACTTAGTTATAAAAAAATAATATAAATAATAATTCTCTTAAGTAGTGATCTTTATAAGTTTACACTTGATTTACTCCGAGTGAATGCGAGAATTTGTCTAGGACGTGTCAATAGTTATAATACAGACAGTGTGATTAGCGAGCTGACACCGAGATTATCGCACTGTACGAAGACACACTAAATTAAGTAACAGTATATTGCAAATACATGATACGAATTATCTGCTGCTGCAAGTAACCTGACAGACTAATTGACAAAAACACTTACTTTTAATTTTAAATAGATTTTTATGATAATATCTAAAATATATGTGTGTCTCACCATAGTAGCAACTCGAAATACGTGACAGTAGTGACTTCTGCTGGCGTGGTCCTTGGTGATGTACGCGAAGTGCGTCAGGTCATCAGCGTCTTGGCACGCGCAATGGATGTTGCGGATTTCATGCTCGCACACCAATTCCTAAGACAAAATTGAGACAATATGTAAAATCTTTATTGCATAACGCCCTATATGCAAAAAAGATTTTGGATACGGTGTTGGAATTTTAGAATTACATAATTATACGATTTCAAATGATCTTTAAAATCATGTCGACAGTTTTACAGCAAAACAGCAAAACCATACCTAAGCCTTCTGATAAAATTTGTTAAGATTAAGCATACTTGGCAATAAAACGAAGAATGATTTCGAAGGATAAAATCAATTTGTTGTAAAACGTGTGTTTTTTGATTTATGTAAGCGAAACGAACTTTTCAAAGTAATAATTTAATGTGAATTTAAGTTAGTGAATTTTTAAACTGCCTAAAAGTGAAAACGCATTATTAATTTTTACTCCGTAATAAATAATCAACACCAGAAAAACCATGTCAATCGATTCGATGTTGCAATCCAAGTGCAATCAAATCGCATCTCGATTTAATCAAGCGTGCCAAGATCAATTTGCGTTAAAGGAAACATCAGCGGGTTGTCGACACTACGAGTATAACAGCCGGCAGTAAGAGGCAGCTACTATTTTATAACGGATTACGGCAATGTTACGTTGCAATTGCTTCAATGAAGAAGATACATATACATATATAGATTAAATATGAAGAAAATGCAAGCATTAATCATTATTTGTTTCACATCTCTATATAAAAAACACTTTGGAGTGTTTTACACACTCATTTTCAAATAATATTTCGTTTAATTTTAGTCAGGAAAAAAAACAATTTCAAATTAAATTTCAGCCGTGCTTCGTTAGCATAACATTGTGAAAAAAAAACACTAATTATCCCACTTAACTAACCGTGAACAGTTCTAACATAAAAAATCATTGTACAAAAAGGAGACGGGATGAAAAAACAATCCTTTTTTAAGAAACACAAAGAAAAGGATGGTCATCGGTCCGATCAAGTGTGAAGGATGGACCGTAATTAAAAATCAGGGTAGAATCAGCCCTCGGTAGCCTTTGTCTCAGCAGGGATGTTTGCTGTCTTACACTCGGCTGACTCTCAAAGACAAACAGTCTAAAGTTTGTACGAAATACAAGATTCAAACTACAAACTTTGTGACAATATACTTGGAAAAATAACGAGGCGAAATGGAGCTGTTGACCGAATATAAAATGATGAGAAAGTTCTCTTTAAAAATATCAAAAATATTAGACATTTTCTAAATCAAAAATTTCTCTATGGGGTAAACATATTCGGATGTATATTCCTAAGGATGAGAATAGATTCTTAAACGAAAACACATTTACAATTTAAAGAAGTCAAATAATCTTAACTAATTTAATATTCTAAAAGCGAATGTAAGTTTGTACGTTCGTTACGCTTTCACGGCTACTACTACTGTCACACTACTCAATCGATCATCAAGAAATATTGCATCAGTTACATATCATCAAAGGTTCATCCAAAAAAAATACTGGTAATTAGGAATACCTAAATTAATTGACAAAACATATGAGGCATATACTGCAATGAGGCCCAGGAAAAAGCTTTAACTATTGAATAACATTATTTCATTTTTATTTTGGATTTGCAAAGACACTCACCCTGGTGATAGTGTTTAGGAACTTGACACCTCGGTAGCTGATAGAGAGTATAATGTCGGGAGAAGTACGAGGTTCTTTGGTAGATTTCTTCAGCTTTTGAATCGACTTCTTCGTCGATTCCGTCCCTCGAAGCTCTTTGACCACCGTGGATCCTAGATACTGGTGAGATGAAATACAATTTTAAGCTATTACACAGCATCCTACATTTTGCACGTAATTTTACGACAGAGATAAACGCGCAGATTTTCACAGGATATAATATCTATGTAACATTTCGTTTTGTTTTTATGCTTTCATGATTTAACCTGCCTATTGGAAACCTGGTACAAGCACACCTTTATATGAATTGTAAGTAGAGGATTCGATCCCGGTCGATTTTTATAATCCCGGGATTTCGGGATTATCTACAGTTAATCTCGGGATCCCGGGATAGTCCCGGGATTGTTTTGGCAATGGAAAGTGGTAACAAAAAGACAGTAAAGCATATCAAAATATTTTTTTTGTTTATCATTTAGTTTTGTGAGGACATGGAATATTTAAGTTTTAAATCTAAAACAAAATTATACTTTCTTCTTATAAAATAAACAACTTCATAACAACTTAAATAACAAACTTCTTATAAGTAAATAAGTTATGCAACTAACAATAAACTTCAAAAAATCAACTTCTTCGGGATCGAATCCTCTAATTGTAAGGGAAAGGGATGGAGTATTAGCAATTGCCCTACTTCATATTACTTGGAGTCAGTGTCTGCCCCGACTCTATGTGTTGACACAATTTACATAGAAACTAAGAATAAGAGTATTTAAAGCACACTTGTTTTTATCAAAACTATTTCAAAAAGATATGATTTTACTTACATTAGCTACATATGTGACAGCCCCCGTTACCAGCACAAATGGCTGATGCTTCCATTGGGTCTTCAAAGCACCTGGTACCCCGACCAGCAGCTCCGAAGGTGCTCTGATTTCTAAATCCGAGGGCCTTGGTGGTTGAGGAGCAGGTCTGTTCTTTTTACTACGCTTCAAAGTTTCCCCACCAGGAGGCGCTAGCGACGGCACTACAGGGGGTGGAACCGGTTTTAGGTTCTCCGAAGGTGGTAACTTCTCTTTGATTTCTTCTTTTAGCTGCTGGATGTTGCTCTTCTAGGAGAGAAAAATAATTGTATTAGTATTTAAATAAGAAGATTGTTGAGCTAAATTTGGATTGGCAAAATACATTTACAGCCTTACTAATAAACTGTTACACACTACGTATACTCGTACCAGGGTTATCACAAAAACGTTACCAATAAAACAATAATTGACGTTTCGTTTGTATACGTCTGGTGTACAGATGTTCGTAAACAAAGAAATTTAACACAACCATTATACAGCCCTCAGGGCTTGTTTAGCAAACGTGTAACCTATAAAAATTTGTAGATAAAGATATGCAAGAAAAAATATTGAATTCATTGTGATTGTGACATTAAACAGCGAGCTCGAGGTGGTGAAATGTCAAAAAAATACAGACGAATTGATAGTCTCCGCTTTTGTGTTTTTGAAGTCGGTTAAAAAGAACTAAGTTTGTAGTAAAGGTCGATTCTCGTATAAATAAATAAATTAAGTATTAAACATCCAACTTTGTCTGTAATGTGATTATATCGTATTGTAACTGAAAGTTGAGTCGGTAATCTGCCAGTCTTATTAATATACTAATATATATATAATATATACGATATACCCTTTACGACATTTTTTGCCGTCGGTCGTAGGACTACCCACCCACGCTAACTTATATCAGTTGCGTTCTAAAACTGTATGTATGTATGTATGTATACTACTAATATATACGATATACCCTTTACGACATTTTTTGCCGTCGGTCGTAGGACTACCCACCCACGCTAACTTATATCAGTTGCGTTCTAAAACTGTATGTATGTATGTAACGAGCAAATCAAAAAAAAATATTTATTTTTTAATTTGTAAAAGAACTTAAAAACAAAATATTTTGTGATATAACGACGTTATTAATAATAAATACATTTTATATAGCCATAAGTATAAAGTTGTAAACGTATTTCTAATTGAAACAAAAATCAGAATCAAATCAGTCAAATGTTGCCAGTGGATTTTGTTATACGTAGGCGGTAACTATCCATTGTTTACACACTGATTATTAGTAAGGGTAGTATGTAACGCCTATTTACATCTTTTACATTGTACAACTATAAATTTTTCAAACAAATATATAACTTATTTTTATTGGTAAGGCTGTTAAAGTTTAAATTAACTTTACAGATTATTGATACAGACCGATTTTTTTTCTCGGCTTTACCTGAGATTCGAGTTATACGATAGCTGTAATATCAGGGAAACTTGGTGGACTATTCTTTTTGTTGTTGTTGTGAAAGAATCTACAGACTATAGGTATAAAACAAAAAAAAAATGTGTTCATTAGCGATACTTAAATTTATTTATGTCAAAATATTCTTTTTCATTTTCAGTATCTATTTCTGTCGACTCGTGTAAAACATGACATTACTACCATCATATTCGAACAAAACAAAACTATTGATGCTCTTCAACATCGTTGAACACCTACACCTGCGGAACGATCCCAATTAAATAAAAATATAAACAAAAAGGGACAAAAAACAAAGGACAATGTTTCGAACAAAACAAAGTGGCACTCGCACACAGAATTCACACTTCACAGGTGCAAACTGTACGATAGGGGAATTAAAAAACTTCATATAGCCGTAAAATTTTAATTAACGCACTAAATGAAAGGCATACAAGTAAATAATTGAAACATCTAATTTGATGGTATCATTCGAAAGAGCGAATGAAAGGAGAGTGACGTCACACAGATCTCGAATGAGGGTTGTGGTGAGCAACTATGAGTTTTCGATTATTATTGTCCTTGTACTTTTATTTTGTCAGGTAATATTTTTTAAGCTAAAGAGTCTTTGGGTCTCTAAAGGTATGTAGCATAATATGATACACAATTATATATGATACAATCTAATCATTAATTACATTCTTATTCAGACAAATGCAATTTCTTCAAATATGTTTTAGAAACATTTTATAATATTTTTTCTATAAATAAATATTAATAACAGATAATGTTTATATCCGAGAAAAGTTGCTGTGTTTCGCCCACGAAGTGACTACTGGTTTGTATTCCAGTTTGTATACAGGTTGAATAACTTAGTTGCTTTAACATACTAGAATCTGTGAACATTCTGTTAAATACATAATTTGAACATAACCTTCAAACTTTTCTTTATACTATACCATACCACTTATCTGTACTATGTAGGGGGCAAACGAGCAGACGGGTCTCCTGAGGGCCAAGTGCAAGTTTATTTCACTTCTACTCGATCGTCACGGTGACTGCGTTCGATACGATTAGCCCGCATCGAAACCTCCACCAAACGCAACGCTAAACGCACTCGTCGCCGAGAGCGAGTCGATGTAAAATAAACTCGCACTTGGGCCTTTGGGCCCAGCAGTAGAGGGAAGAGCAGAAGGGAGTGAAAAGCAACGAAACAATGGCTTAAAACCGGTTTGCTGTGATAGTTAGGGATCATTATTCCAATTGTTGAGGTAAAATTGGGTGAATTTATATAATTTTACATGCAGACGTCAAGTTCTGGCATATGACCCGTAACTATCATACCATAGAATACTGAACGTTAATAATTCTATTACCAAACTCTATTGAGAAATCGATGAATTTCGCAATGATTTATAATAATGATAAAAATAACTTAATAATTCACACACGGCCGTCTCATCCCAAACTAGGTGGAGCCTGTACTATGGGCAACAGACTGATGATAAACATACTTATGTATTTCTAAATACATACATATTATAGAAAAATTACCCTTAGATACAGAACAAATAATCATGCTCATCACACCTTTATTTGTCCTGGGTGGGAATCAAACCCACGACGTCCGACTCACCAGTCAGGGTCACTAACCACTAAACCAACAGGCCAATTGAAACAAATTACAAGTATAGATAATAAATCAGATTATTTACCTCTCAACCATCATTGAAACTACATACTAATATCAACAAGAATATTAAATAAAAAGCTACGAAAATTCATAGTTAGACCGCATTTTACTCGTTCGCGTTTTCCCTCATTCACATAAGAGTGGGGCACTCAGTATGAATGCAGCTACTGAATAGACGTCGAATTGAGCACTAATTACCTATACGAGGTTGCCGACGTGTGAAATTAAAAAAAAAGACTGCTATAGGCATGTCTGTTTGCATTTGGGTCTGTGGTTGAGTATTTTGATTTAGGATAAGGATGTGGACATCGCAGAGCTTTTTTAGCCTTGCCTTATTTTAGTGTAGGTTTAGACTTTGTTAGGATCTGCCTTCTACAGTTGTCAAAACTCAACTACTATTGCTCTTGAATTTATTAGTGCCTAGGTGATGGCCGCCCTGACTTTTATATACTACTTACTATTATATACTATATACTAGACACTTGTGTGTGTGTAGATTCAAGTGCATTGTCACACTTTGAGGGAGAGGGGAGGGAGACAGGGTTGGTCTCTAATAGGTCGCAACGCTTAATAACGTTAAATATACGTTAAATAGACGTAACATGCATATCAGTGGTGTTTACAGGCCAATTTGCTGCAAAAATCTATCAACTCAAAACGACAGGTGATGCTTTACGGTAAGTATATAAACGTTAAGTAAACCAGCTCGTAACCTCTGTACACAGGTCCATATAATAACATACAAGCCAAATCAGATAGAATAGCTGCCTGTTTCCCCCTTTAGATTTCCTCTATCGTTACTATTGTAAACTAGACTGGATTTTGGCCGCGGCTCCACCGTGTACGTCGGTTATCGCTGTAAAAAGTAACCTATGTTACTCACTGATAATGTAGCTGTCCATTAGTTTAGTGGTTTAGTCGTGAAAGTGTAACAAACAAACAAACAAATTCATTTTCACATTTACCTATAATATAAGTATGAATGTAGGTATCTATTCTCCTTTCCGGTCAGTAAACTTCATATAAAAATTAGCGTAACAGAGTATGTTTGATCCGAAAAGACTAACTGGACTTCTTTTCTATTGGATTTCCTTTTTATATAAATTCTTATAGTTAATTTGTATTGTGATTGATTTTTAATAGGCTATATTTTAATATTAAATAATAATTAAGAATTGAGAAGACTACTCAAAATGTGTTTCATTATCACAACTTATGGTGCAGACTGGCGGAGTTTTGGTCTCACACAAAAATGTCACTCATAAAAAATCTTACGAGGCCTTAATATTTAAACGAAGTTCAGAAAGGTAAGCGACACGATTAAACACATTCCAGTCTTTGCTCTTTTACCGAAATATGGCACCTGCAGGGGTGGGTGTTGCCTGGCTACCCCCTCAACACACGTGCGTGAACATAATTACCGATAGATGAGCAATTTAACATGGATTAGCCGTTTTAATCTTGTAACCGTATGGGGGAAACATGTTAATGAAGCCAAGATGAGTTTTAAATATACCTGAAGATGTTAATAAAAGTGAAGATTGGAGTACGTGACTGAGATGCTAAACTTTAATTAAATAATAAGATCATGTTATATATCTTTATTAGCATTAAGGCTTATTTGTTTGTTCTTTCAAACACGTTTGTTTTGGTTCTCTGAGACCGATATTTAAAAGTCATATGGTACTGTAAAATTTATTTATTGTAGGTGATTGTTAGCTAAACAACGTGATCATAAGTCTTAAAAACTAGACCTATACGTATTGTGCATAGTCGATCGATCCTGTATCAATGCTATTACTTAAAACTTTTTAACTACTCGTAGAATTAGAAAAGTTAATTTTTACCACCACTACCACCATCACCCACTTCAAGTTATATTTCCCAATTGAATAACTTCACATACGTGATTGATATCGGTCGGTAGTTCTCGTGATGTGTCGATCGGTTGATCATCAATTGGCTTAAAGTAAACGTAATCATGCTCATCACACCTTTATTTGTCCTGGGTGGGAATCAAACCCACGACGTCGGGCTTACCAGTCAGGGTCACTAACCACTAGACCAACAGGCCAATCGAAACAAATTACAAGTATAGATAATAAATCAGATTACTCGTATTTACCTCTTAACCATCATTAAAATTACATACTCATATCAACAAGAATATTAAATAAAAGGCCACGAAAATTCATAGTTAGACCGCATTTTACTCGTTCGCGTTTCCCTCATTCACATAAGAGTGGAGCACTCAGTATGTAAAGTAAACAAGAGAAACAAGTCTCACTGAGCGGCCGTCATTGGACCTACTAAGTGACTTATATAGTATACATTAAGTAAGACAGTAAGTCAAAAAATAAGATTAGATTTTGCATCGAATCCAACATATCGACTGCCTTGGTGGTATGGTGTTAGCGTCTGCGACTGCTGTGCTGAGGTCTCGGTTTTCTATTCCCGGGTCGGACCAAATGCTATGATCTGCAAATATTTGTTTCGGAGTTTGGATGTTTTCTATATATAATATTTCATTTCATTTCATCAATAGCCAATTTAGCTTTCGTAGTAGAAGCTCTGCTTAGTTTTAAAATAGATGGCGTTGTGTGTCAGATGTCCGCAATTTATTATTATAAATCTCTTTATCTCATTAAACATACATTTAAAAATAAATATTATTATATTCAATTGCGAGTACATATATTGAACAAAGTATAAAAAACACCTGCTATTTCGAGATTGTTTTATGTACAATTAAGTACCACTGAGTTGTTTTTAATTCATGTCAGGATATCCTTTTACCTTATCAAATTGCATATTAAATATTGCCCTACACCTGCTGCATCAACATCGGGTTTATATTACGTTTTGGACTTAATAGGATTATTATTGAGAGCTTTATGCCATATTTAGCGAGCGACGGCGGAATTCATAGCTACCTTTTGATTCCTCGACATTTATATTCCTATCGAATATTTTATTAGCATGTTACTTTATATTATAATCAGTAATAGTAGTAAGTAGTATGCTGGTAAGGTAGAAGAGCGTTGATAAGCTTTTTTATCTAAATATACACTACACAGTATTATATAATACACTCTGTAAGTACCTTAATACATTAACACTTCTAGAAAATGGCATTATTAATTCAAAAACTGTTTTCTTTTTCAAAAAATTTGAACTATGATATTTACTGGCCTATTGATCTAGTCGTTTGTGACTGCTAGTCCAGAGGTCGTGGGTTCAATTCCACCACCCCGGCCTGCTTCTGCTAGGGTGACAGATGGCCTCACCTGTCACCCCCATGCCTGCGCTTATGGAGGACGGAGGTCGTTCTGCGACCTCCGGCGCCTGAGTCGCCTGCGGTACCTGGCCCGTTCCCGGGCCTGGCGTCCCGGGAGAGTCCTTAACCTCTCCCGGTCCCGCTCCGCCGTCTCCTTCGCGAGCATAACTTGCTCGCAGAAGGAGACGGCAGAGTTCCACGCACTCTCGCTCCGCACGATAACCGCAATCAGGCTATCGAGCGAGAGAACTCCCACTCCGATGGCCGCCACGAGGTCTCGCCTCTGCTCAACCCACGCCGGGCACTCTGCCAGCGTGTGGAGAGCCGTGTCCACGGTCTGGCCATCGCAGTAGTGGCACTCAGGCGTTGGCTCCTTGCGGATCAGACACAGGTGATCCCCGAAACATCCTTTCCCAGTGATCACCTGCGTCAGTCGTTATGAGAGGGTCCCGTGACGCCTCTCGAACCAATCCTGCATAACGGGTCTTACCGCCGCGATGGGGTTCAATTCCACCCAGGACAAAAATTTGGGTGATGAGCACGGTCATTTGTTCTATGTCTGGGTGTACTTTATCTATAATATGTATGTATTTAGAAATATATAAGTATGTTTATTAGCAGTATGGTTACCATAGTACAGGCTATGCCTAGTTTGGGACCAGACGGGCGGGTGTGAGATATGTGAAAATATTATTAATATTAAATATAACATAAGCTAAGCTGACGTTCGGTGAACATTAAGATTTAAATGTTCAGTGGACATGTTTAAATCCGGGGATTTAGAATTTATAGACAAATTGATGGAAATTAATAGGATACTGCTTAAAATGTCAGTCTTTATTGTTAGAAATTTTAACTTTAATCTTATTTACTGGCTCTACTACTATGTAAAACCTCTAAGTCATCGCAAGTACAAATACTTAGCACTTCAATCCATCGCTCCCTCGATCTGATTCAAACTGCCGTTATCATAGCAACACCCTTTAGTGAAATGACAACAAAATTATCGTCATACCGAAGGATATCCTTTTTACAAGCATTCTGATTGAAGAAATTGTTCACTTTATTGCTGTGATTGAACCATCCGGAGATATCAGTGCATGTTTATTGGTATCAGAGTTAATATCTTTGAAGATATAGTGACCTGTTCATATTTTTTTCTAGAAGTTAAGGACTAAGGTTTAATAATAATTACGATTCATTTAACATTGAAGGATTCTAAGTAAGCCACAAGACTTGTACTTGTAATGAGAATTTTTGACGGCCGGATGGTGTAGTGGTTTGTGTAACGGACTGCTATTCCAAAGGTCGCGGATTCGATCCCGCTCAAGTCAAACATTTGTGTGCATGAATATTTAATGTTTGATTTGAAATATGTATGTATTTATATCAGTTGTCTAGTACCCATAGTACAAGTTCTGCTTAGTTCAGGACTAGATGGCGTTGTGTGAATATTAGATATATTATTATTAATTATTTATTAACTGACACTGACGTGAGAAATGGTTTTCAATTAACACTCGTAAAAACATGTAATGAGAACTCTTTAAAAATAGGTAGTGCCTCCAGTATTATTTTTACAGTAGGTAATAAAATGATGAACTGACATAATTTATTAATGCTTACTACATTATTTTTGTATTTCAATCGAGTGAGTAGTGATTATAATTGAGCCATGTAGTAGTCTTGCGCGCCAAAATCAAATAAATTTTAATAGATTGAAGAACGTCCTACTGTCAGGGTAGAAAGTTCTATGTTTGACGATCAGTACGCTCTCTTTCTCAAATTTATTTGATCACGAGCAAAAAGATCGTTAATTTGTTTTACGTTTACTGTAATCCTCTTTTACAGAAAGAATTTTAAAAAGTTTACAAAAGATTTTACAGTTTTGTAATGGCCCATTTCTAATGTACATTGTTTACTTTCTAAAATTGACGAGTCTTTATATTTATCAACTGAAACGACAATACTAATCTGTCTAAATCCAAATAACATGGACAATAAGCAAATATAATATCTACGTTACGAGTAACATCTTAACTGTGCAAAACTTTTTTTGTTTTAGCATAAGACTCGAAACTTTTGCTTATGTCATATTCAAATTAACCTTACAGAATTGTTTTATTGTAATCCAATCTTATTAGAAACTTTTTGTTTATACTTCACCTGCCAACTTCACTTTCCATTCCACGTTAACGAAATGTTGAAAATCACTTCACTTTCCTCGTGTGTCGAAATCAAAACAGTCATTGCCCTACTTCGATATAATAAATCAAATTCACCATGTCCATCACAACTTGTCTCCAAAACTCACCTAAATTTTATAGCAGAGCTTACTATAGAATGTCGTAATCGCTTTCTCAAGCCATTGATCAACCCATGGCCTATGGGAAGTCCGCATTAGTATGCATGGTGTCAACATCCACACACCAATGCATATCAAATACTGCCATGTCATATTTAATACTTCTATTGATTAATTTGTACGATTAAATAGGATTCTAGTCCGTGTTCGATAACCTTAATTGATGGTTGGTGATATCGATTACAATGGATTTTTGGATTGGATTGGATGGAAACATATCGTATTTGGAGCACAACAAATAACAGTTCTTCGTCGACGATAGTTAAGGACAGGAAAAGTTTTAAACTATATTGGATTATAAAAAAAGAAAAACAGTTGATTTATTGCAATTAACACTTCAACTCTAAAAACAAAAAGTTATTACAGATCACCTTTTTACTTTGAATGATTTTGATAACAATCCTGAAAGATTGGAACTGATTCATGAAATTGGAGCGGCACTATGTACTTGGATATATTATTCCGAGGAAATTATTTGTACCCTTTAACAAATTTTGCCTACAAAAAGTATAGTACCTATGTGTAAAGTATTGAAAAAAAAAGGATTGTAAAGAATGTAAATATAAATTTAAAATTATGTAAAGAGTGCTAAATCAGACTACACGTGTCTAGTACGTAGACCTATGATACAGAAAGTTTACAATAACAGTCAAGTCATAGTATGAATGAATGTCTTGATTTATGTTATATTGTACTCGTTGGATGCAGGCCGCAATCAACCGTCCCTGCTGAAAATCATTGGGAGAGGCCTATGTCCAGCAGTGGACAAGCATAGGCTGAGGTGATGATGATGATACTCGTAGATAGATAATGAAACAAAACATTCGATCCAGGCGATGTCTAGCACAAAGCAAAATAGTGTTAAGATTTTTCTGCTTATCAATTATCACTTACCAGAGTATTGAGATCAGCATTGATATCTTCTATATGATTAACAGGTCCATTATGTTCACCAGAAACTGAGGCCAGTATTCTTTTCCTATGTCCAGCCTTCTGTATCTCAAGCACAGCCGTCAGTTCAACTTCCCAGATCCTTCTCACTCTATCCATATCTACATATAAATGTTTTCTAAATGTATCACTATATTGTTCTAGGTTTATATTCTTTAGCCATTCTTCCACTGATTCGTTTTGGCTTTTACTTATATTGTTATTATTATAGTTATTGCTTATTTCAGTTATTTTAAGAGGTAATTGTTTAGCTGATTCTAATATTTTTTGTCTATCGTTTTCTTCTATGCCCATTTCTCGGAGATCGTTTTCGTCTAATATACCGTTCTGGAACAAAAATGCAACTTACTTTGTGTTATTTACTATAACAATATTACGGTTTATTTATAAAGCTTATCTTAAATTATTAAGTACACATGATATTTGAAGATAAAACGTAAAAAGCTGTTTTTTTTTACCAACATTTTAAGAGTTGTTTAAACTGTACATTTATTTAAGTTTCACTGGATCTTTGATTTTCTTTAAGTTTTACAGTTGAAACAGATATGTCAGTAGTAACTGAACATTTTGAAAGACTGAGCAATATGGGAATTTTACTCAAAATGGGCTATCAATTTTCCATTTAGACTTCAGACAGACATCAGATAATATTAATTTATTGGTATTATTATTTGGCATATTTGTCTCTTTCTTGTTGCTCTCCGAACCTTCGGCGATATCAACGTATTTTGACGTGAAAATAATTAAAGGAAATAGATAATGATAAAGACTATTCTAGACACTCACAATAAAATCGATGTCATCGAAGCCACTTTCCAGGAAGAGGCTCTCGTAGTCATGTAATCCAAGGCCAGAGAGCCAAAGGCCTAGATTAGAAGCTACTGAAGGGCTCAGACTGGACTCGGAACAGCTCAGGCCAAGTCTAGATGTGAACTCCTGTTCCAGTTCAGATACAAATACTGACTCCCTGACCAGCTTGCTTCCAAAAGATGCCATTATCTCGGAGATCTTTGCCCATTCCTCCTGTGAACAAAATAATAACTTGAGTAAAATGTCGCATTGGTACTAAATGATATTGAGTTGTATAAAATAATAATATTTGGACATCTAACACACAACGCCGTTTAGTTTAAAACTAAGCAGAGCTTGTACGATGAAAGCCAGATTGACTGATAGAATTCATATCTATTTTTTTTTGTAAATACATAGATATTATACATAAAAAACACCTAAAGGTCCGAAACAAATATTTGTAGATCATATAAGCATTTGGTCCGACCTGGGAATCAAACTTGAGCCCTCAACATAGCAGTCGCATACGCTACCACTGCGCCACCAAGGCAGTTGTAAAATTTGTACTTGTGACTCTTCGAGTTGCAGGTGTCAATGGACGGCGATAGTCACTTACCATCAGTAGACCAGTCTGCTCGTTTGCCCGCTTATACCATTAAAAATAAATAAATGAATACCTCGGTCGCCATAATAATATTCTTTTGTGAAAAACTGTGTTACCGATCGAGGATATGAAAAAGTACTGTTTTACTTATAACATCCGCTGTGTGTTTGTAGGAAACTACAATAAAGAATACGTTGAACTAACAGTAGACAATGACTAAAGTTCTCAGGCTGCTGAATGTTTTACATTTTGCGGATAAACCGTTAAATGGATACTTGTAGTGACATGTTTTATTACTCTGTGAAAAATACAGCTCGTCTCAATTGCTCACAGGTTAAGTATTTTATAGTTATATAGTTCAATTCCTATATCCTATCCTATAAGTATTCTATCAGTCAATCTAGCTTTCATAATGCAAGTTCTGCTTAGTTTCAAACTAGATGGCGTTGTGTGTTAGAAGTCTGAAATATTATTATTACTATTATTATCAGTTCAATCTGATAGTTTGAATAAGAGAATATGTGTATGGAAAAACTAATTGTAAATAGGTTACATGAACACTTTTACAAGCCAAACTTTTTTAGAGCCGATGAGTTTGGCCTTTCTTAACTGGACTAGCCCTGAGAAGAAAGGACAAAAAAAATTCAGGGATTATCGTCTCTTTGAATATTCTCTGGGTTTATAGTTGGAAATAAAAATATTTTTACATTTGATAGTGCAATTCTTAAGGAAGGTATTACGCGATTTAAGACCCTGCGACCGTTAGGAGCGGAGCAGTGACCTAAACGGCGGTTAAAAATGCAGGGAACTGCAAGTAATAAATATAGTGTTACACTAAACTGACACCACACCTGCCGTTCGCTTGCATCTGTCTACCTGTACGCCATTTATGTAATGGAGACAAACAGAACACTTTATATAGATATGTAAATAATACATGAGTCACCAACAATATGAGGGTTTCGCCCGCATTAGTCCCTCTTTTGTCCTTTTTTCTGCGGTTATAAAAGATGTAACAGATAATAAATATTGCCTCCCCCTACACAATATTGAAATACAATGAGCCGTTAAATAATAGCAACTTGAAACTATTAAAGTATTTTCACATGTAAATACAGATACTGGTATTTTGAATGAAAATAACAATGTACTGGACATTACACATGGGTATACTATAAAAGCTGACCCGCGCAACTTAATCTGAGTTTAAAAAGGAATAAATTTTGGCAGTTTTTGCAACATTTGTCATTGATGCTCGGCTCCTTTTAGTGGCAGCGTGAAGTTATGTAGCCTTCCTCGATAAGTGAGTTATCTAACACTATACAATAATTCTTCAATTCGAATCAGTTCTTGAGAATAGCGCGTTAGACCAAACAAAAAAAACTCTACAGCTTTATAATATTAGTATAGATATTAAACACTTCTAATTGATTGCAATTGAAAATAAGAGAAGGAAAAAAACGTCGAACCTTAGATAGGTTTGACTACAACTTTGTTGTACATCATCATGAGTTGGGTATCGTGTAACGAAGGTAATCATTACTTACAATAGTACCACACCAAACTATAACTTCTTAAGAGTATGAATAAGTCCGTGGGAGGGCCATGCTTCGTGCCGAATTCATGATTTGTGCCGAAGCATGGCCCTCGCAACTCCCAGCCTCTGGCTCGACCGGAGTAATACCACAGCTTCACAGAAAACCGGTGGTAAGCAGTTCTTTTGTTGCTTTTCACCGAGTTACTGAGTTTACCAAAGTTTAAACCTCCCCCTGATTTTGAGGAGCCCAAAACGTGGTGACGCATTAGTGACTTTCGCGCTGTAGTTGTCCATGGGCGGTGGTCATACCATCAGGTGATCCGTCTGCTTTTTTACTCCTATGCCATAAAAAAATTATGGGAAATAATGTGCATAATGATATTGTTGATTCAAAAGTCAAAATGCGTGTTCTTAAGATGTAGTAGTTTAATGATGCTGATAAAAATAAACATTTACTTGTTTTTTATCTGTCGTTTACCATCAGAAATAAAAGCATAATTAACCAATTTACTCAACCTGTGGAGCGCAACAAAAAAATTTGCGAACTTGGTTATAAATAAACTATAATTATGTGAATAAAATGCATATTTATAGGTACCGGCAGCTGGTATATTCCTTGGCAAGCATGTCAATTGACATGCGCATGATGCACCGGATTTCATGTCCGATGTCCACCTGTCTCGTTCTTGTGTTAGGAAAACTGCCTATCTAAGGCCTATGGCTGTAAGTTATCCATTGTTTAAAGAACAAGTGGCCATGTCATTACCCTACAAGTGTGAAATATTGTTCGTCCTTATGTCACGTATAGGAGACATACTGTCTGAGTATACAGAGATATTATAAAGAATCAGTTACAAACAAAAGCGGACATAATTATGCAGATTTAAATCAGTATGTCCACATAATAACAAAAGATTTAACAAAGTACCAGACTTTTTTGTTTTGTGGCATGTACACTTTCATTCAATTTGCATTCCTTACAACAATAGATTGAATACGGTATAGGCAGAATGATGTTTCCATTATGTCTACATTTAATAATAATTAAAAAAAACCATTTCAAGTTATACCTATTCAATATCAAAGCACTACATATTCATTAGTCCTCCTTTAATTTAGCATGTATTTAATGTAATCTTTCTATGTGTAATGTATCTTTCTATGTGTAATCTGTCTAATAAGTTTTAGTACGAAAATAATCACTACATACTATACAATAAAGTCAGTTTTGCATTTGTCTGCTTATGTGTGGTGTCAGTGGGTCTGAACAAGATAAACTCCAAAAGTATCGAACTGATTTTCATATAACTGATACCAATGGATATGGTCGTTTCTGAGATAGATTTATGTGTAAAATTCATGAAGGTATCATTTTGCTGAAATATAATGACGATTATATCTAATATTAAAGATGTTAAAAAAAAGGTGTCGCATGATTGCATGCATACTATTATGACGAAGATTTACAGATTTATTTAAGTGGACCATTTAAATCGCAATTAAGAAATCTATGTGTTAAAAATTTTAGAAAACCTTTCAAATATGTAATAAATTAAACAATTTTTGTAATCTTAATTTAATTAAATCAGACTTCAGTTACTTTTTTTTATCTGGGTTCAAATTGACCTTATCCTAAACACATCAGATCAGGTGTAGAATTTTTAAAAAGAGTGTTTTCGTAATTCAATGTAACATACATCTTCTAGCCGCCACGACACCCGTACGAAATTAGGTGTGAACATTCAACACAAAACTTAAATTTAGGATTTGGAGTTGGTTAGGTTTCCTTCAGTTTCAAGTGCTAGGAGCATAGGAAAGAACACAACACTATACCCAATGGAGGTATTTACATAAAATAATTTGCAGTTCAAATGCTCAAATCAAAGTTTGACATACATTATACGACATACCATAAGAAGTATAGCTAGCAAACCTTTTTATTGCTACACTCATTACAATATATTAAACATTTGACAATAAAAAAAACATAACTTGGTTAGGGTGATAGGTCGGCGTAGTTTTATTGCGTATCTCCTTTCCAACAAAGCCATCTTCACATTTGACCACGAAGCAAATGCTCCGTTCCTTTGACTACCCCTATAGATAGAGTCATAATACTTAAATGATTCACGTGTTTTATGGACGGAAATGACGGGGTCGCCTGATAATAACTAACGCCGTATATAGACACCTGCAACTTAAAAGACACAAATGTGTTGCGGTCCCTTGGGTGCTCGCCCCAAAAAACAAAACGGGGGAGTGTCAGGACTCCAGACTCCTCACGCACTCACAAAAATTGCGACACAAACGCTATAAAGCATAGACAGAACGATAAACCATCTTGAGTGCTGTTCCGCTGACGAAACAAAACGTTATCACTGACATTTGAATTGCTAATTGACATTTTGGTGTCAAGTATATACGGGCTTTTAGACTCGCACATAAACGCAATGCATTTCCATAATTATCTTAGTTACTAAAAGTTTCTATTCATTAAGAGATAACACAAAATAGCTGACAACAGAAAAAATACCGAAGCAATCTTTACGGCGGTCAAATAAACCCGTTTAACTGATAGTGATCATTAGTACCTAGTGTAATTTTTGTAGTAAAAGAAGAATGTTATAATAATCTCTCGCATGTCACACACACACGGCCGTCTGATCCCTAAACTAGGCAGAGCTTGTACTACGGTAACCAGACTGCTGATAAACATACTTAGATATTTCTAAATAACCAACTTCTTAACCAGCATAGCCAGCATTTTATGGCTAAATTATACCCAATATATAAAATATATAAAAAATAATCGTGTTCATCACGCAATTATTTGTCGTGGGTGGGAATAATCGAACCCACGATCTCTGGATCACTGACCACTAGAGCATCTGGCCCGCCAAATGTACTTTTTTTTTTTTTTTTTTTTTTTTTTCCGTGCGGAAATCCCCTCGGATACCACCTGTCGGTGGCATGTCGGACACGAACCGACTAAAACCGCACGCCTTCGCCGGGTACTAATAGCCGGGGAACCAGGTATACCCTAGAAAGGAAGGCCCTGGTGCCCCGACATACCTCGGGTCATCTACAGACGAGTAGACGACCCCCGCCCCGTGTGGGAACCCCATGTTCCCTGTGCTCCCTGGAAGCGAGCGCGCTTCGCAACGCGCTCGCCGCCACCCCGGCCTGCTTCTGCTAGGGTGACAGATGGCCTCACCTGTCACCCCCAGGCCTGCGCTTATGGAGGACGGAGGTCGTTCTGCGACCTCCGGCGCCTGAGTGACCTGCGCTGCCTGGCCCGTGCCCGGGCCTGGCGGGCCGGGAGAGTTCTAAACCTCTCCCGGTCCCGCTCCGCCGTCTCCTTCGCGAGCATAACTTGCTCGCAGAAGGAGACGGCAGAGTTCCACGCACTCTCGCTCCGCACGATAGCTGCAATCAGGCTATCGAGCGAGAGAACTCCCACTCCGATGGCCGCCACGAGGTCTCGCCTCTGCTCAACCCACGCCGGGCACTCTGCCAGCGTGTGGAGAGCCGTGTCCACGGTCTGGCCACCGCCAAATGTACTAGGACTCTAGTGTACTAGAACAATATTATCAAACATTTAAAAGAATATTTCCTTTTGAATTTAAGAAGACAAACCTCAACAGTACTCATCTCGGTAAAATGCAGTTGGCTCAACGAATATACATAATAATATGATAAAAATGGAAGGTGTTACAAAGATAATTCTCAAACTTCCTGCCTTTGTTATAACATGCGTCATTCTTACACAAATTGTTTTGGCGAATTGTTTTATTCATCTGTGGCAGTAATTAGGAACTTTATTTTCTTATTTGGGCTTACATAAAAAGAAAATTACGAATTCACCAATGTCACGGTTTTAATAGTAAATTTTGCAACTTTACCCTTTAATGTGTTTGTACTCGTATATGATAATGATATTAAAGAAATGAAAATCAAGTTCCCAAATTAACAAAGACTTGAGATCGTCTAGCGGTAAAATTTTGACCATTTTTTATGTTTTGACTAATTTTAGTGAACTGTCATTTTATAGATTTCTGTACCATGACAGTACAAAATATATAAAAATTATAAATATGCAAAAACATTAAACTATTATAGGTATACATATACATAGAGAACCATAATTGTTAACTTTATAACTCGTATGGTTTTAAATTGTAGGCATTTTGCAATTCTTCCATATTGAAAAAAAAAAAACAGTATTTCAAATATGATATCGTCCGCCATAATTTTCTTATTATTTTTTCTGAAAAGAATTATTATTATTATAAATACGAGTACATTCTCATTTTCATTTTACTTTAAAGTATAACAATATTTTTTGCGGCAAACGCAGCTTATTTTAATGGTTAGCATTAAATATATACATATTAATCTCTGAATCGTGAAATACATTTTTACTGACACCTTTTACGTATAAGCCACTTCCCACTTCCACAGGTGTCTAGAACACTACAGTTTTAGTACAGTTACAACTAATAGTAGTATTTTTTTTTATAGAGCAGATGGTTCACCTGATGGTACGTGGCGACCGCCGCCCATGGACGTCTGCAACTCAGGAGTCACAAACGCGTTGCCGACCTTTTAAGGAAGAGAATGCTCTTTGCCTGAAGATTTGAAGGTCGTATCGGTTCGGAAATACCGCAGACGATAACTCGTTCCACAGATTGGTTGTGCGAGGCGTGTTGCCGCCCTTTCAGTCCCACCCCCAGAATTAGGGTGAGGTTTGGGCTCCGCTAACGTCACACACTCAGTGAAAAGCAACAAAAAAACTGCTTAACATATCTGTATCGCAGTTTTCACGCTAACATCAAAATTTCTACTACTAAACGGACTGAGGATTACACATGCTTTATTAATACCAAAGATGAGACTCATATTACTCATGATTTGGACATAAAAAAATACATAGTGAGTATTTTCCAACGAATTATACCGACATAAATGAATTAATTTATACCTATACTTCCCAAGTACATTCAGAGGTACTTCCAGGTTTAGGTTAATCGATTCTAACATTTTTATTGTTAACTTAGAGATTTATGTTAGACATACGAGTATAATTAAACACGTAATCACGTATCGATTATACGTATTACATATAAGATAGTATGTTAATTGTCGTGTATATTTCTGTTTTATTGAAACGTGTGCGCTTACAATGGTAAGACTAATTGAAGTAACTGTAAACGACAGATGAATAGTTTTAGGTGAATGAAACTTTATTTATTACTTTACTGTTTTTCCCTAATACGCTTCAAAAAGGTGTGCAGTAGGACCGCAAGCGGGTGCGAGGTTTGGGTCAGTCTTTGCCCATATTCTAGTTTACGTGGAACTTTGAAACGTTCGTGATTATTGAATAAAATAGAATAAAATGAATTGTAGTATAATGACAAAGCTCAATAAGACTTGGGTCTGTACTGAACTGTACGACTGTTCAGCAACACTACATTATATTTTGATATATTTCCTGATTAATGTAATACAGTAGTCGTATAATTATTTAAAAGACAGAAAGAAAGAGTCAAAGGGAGATTTTTTGCCAAATTTTAGAGAAATTAAAGGTAGCTGCTTCAAACTTTTTTTCTACACAATGATGATGTACCTAAGTGTAAAATTATTTAAAGCAGAGAGAGAAAGAGACAAAGTGCGTGTCTTCTTAATTCTAAGAGATTGCAGTTGTATAAATGAAGAAAGACTTACCTGCTCATCAAACGGACTAAGTATTGACAGTGACTTCTCGCCGCTCTGTGTAGAACTCGTTGTATTGCTTCTCCTCCTGACCTCTTCCTCCATACCGTTGATATTTCTGTCCGTCTGTCCATTGCTGTTTATGTTTGGCTGTGGCAGTGGAGCTTCGGTAGGCGATGCGTCATATACAGACTTTAGCTTACGTAACGTTTTCGGACGTTCGGCCGGCATCGGCCGGAGACCGAGCCCGTCTAATGTGGTTGTTGAGCCTTTGAAGAGGCCTGTGGACAAAGAAACATACCATTATTCTCTAATCTATAATAATAATAACTTATGATAATAACTGTACACATCTCACACACGGCAGTCTGATCCCAAACTAGGCAGAACCTGTGCTATGGTAACTAGACTGGTGATAAACATACTTAATATACCTACTTATATATTTCTAAATACATATTTTAGATAAATTACACCCCGACACAACAAATGATCGTGCTCATAACACAGTTATGTATAGTTAATTATATACGAGTATATTATTTAACTATTATATAGCACGTACGAAATGTATTTATGTTTACCTAATATATCTATATATGTAGTACATTTTTTGTGAGAGTTATCCAATAGTAATTTATTCATTAGCTTCAATTATACCTACACCTGCCACACACAGCTCTTCATCATCTAAAGGTTAACTTGAGTTTTGTATTCGTTGTAAAAATCTTTTTCTTAATCTTTATCTTTTTAAATTTTGCTGTCATTTAACAGCTTTGCAAGTAGGAAGTGAGTTATATCCCTCTGGTAACTTACATAACAAAAATATTAATTTTATGGTGAACGAAGATAGAAAATATTACGAGTTACGACATTGAATACTTAGTAGTGGGACAGTAGATTATCTCTGCAACAATGGTCATGCACGGATAAAAATGCATTTTGTATAATTATTTTTGTGTCAGTTCAAAACACAATACATACAATTTCACTACTCCGTTACGTTGCTTAACTCAGTGTTTATGTTTGGTGTGTGTGTAAAGTGTACAGTCACGTATATACACGCACACATACCAGCTCCTTTTACTCCCGTTGTATGAATTTAACCTACTGTTCCGTGTCTATTCTGTCATACTTAGCTGTGACGTGTTCAACAAGTATAAAATTTATGAGATCAAAGTGCACGTGTTCTTATTATCTATTTTGTGGTCATATGCCCTACAGCTGTAACGTGTAGTCAGTTATTTGTTATTTAATGATAATCATATATCATTTAATGATACTCATATACATATCACCCTACAACTCTCGAAGATAGGAAGCATACTACATACTAACATAGTACTACTTTAACGAACATTTGTGGTCGTACTGGATATATAGTTTTGTTTTCATTGCTGTGTAACAAACAAGCGTTTCTACTAAGAAGAGGGAAAAAAAAACAGTAAATTGTACAGTTTTTTACGAACTTTAAAAATCAATATGATTCTTATTATGTTGGTGTTATTTGTGTTTTTTTTGTGTGAATATAAGGCGAATATTAGAGTCATGCTGATTAAAGAGAGGTTCGAAAAAGCCATTGTACTTTTTAAAGTAGCCTTTTTAAAGACCTATTTCTATCTCAATGTACACATAGTAAAATAAACTGTTTATCATAGATTCTTGCTTAAGGTCACTAGCCCTCATCATCATCATCAACAGCTCTTACTAGTCCACTGCTGGACATAGGCCTCCCTTAGAAAGGAGGTTTTGACCTACTATACCACGCTGGCCAGACGGGTTGGTATAGGGTTTGTTTCAAGTTTTCCTTCTCTTTGCTGTTTGCTCCCTTACTCGGCTCTTACTACACCCATGGGTTCAATAGGGGTAGTGACACTCCGTATTCTTAATTCGTCACCACACGGACGTAAGACTATCCTTATACGTGCCTTAAAGTTGAAATGCATATGAATTTCAACCAATTCTTAACTTAATAGTAAATAATGTGTCAAATCGATTTTTATTCTACAATATGTAGATTCACGCTTTTAGTTGTTTGATAACGTTATCGATAAACTCTAACCGCTGATAGCTACAAACCTACAAATACCGTATCGGCTTGTATGAAGAATATCTTAGCTATTATTATCATTATGAGTGCGTGTTTGTTTGTTACGCTCTTACACCTTAATTCCTCAACCGATTAGAATGTATTGTTAGATACACATTGCTAGGACTCAAGTAATGGACATACCTAGTCATGGCTATATTACAACTAAAATTTTAATCCAATTTACGTAATAGATGGCAAAAAGATTGCCACCAACTGAGCACTTTAAAAATTTGATATGAAAATTGGGTAATACAGGTAAATAAGAAAAGATGGCTATGATAGAAAAGCTTATAAGGACGGATTAGGTAAGCAGCAGCTGGAGCATTACAGCCATTACAGGGTCACCTATAATAATAATAATAACTTCACACATCCCACACACGGCAGTCTGATCTCAAACTATCATGCTCATAACACAAACTTTGTCTTGGGTGGGAATCGCAGTCAGGGTCACTAACCAATAAACTAACAGGTCCGTAAACCTATGACTCGAAATGGCCGTTGCTAGACAGATGAGCTTCTTAACCTTTCTAGCGTAAAGTACATTTTCTAAAGACATACAATAGATTTATAAAATCTCCAAGAACGCAAGCGAAGCCTCAGGCAAAACTAGTATAGCCATAGTTCAGATAGAGTAGCCGATATCAATAGTACAGCCTTCACTGGAGACCGGTTTGTTTTGATAACTACTAAGCCTTGGCACGAATGTGATACGTTATAACAAACGTGTTTTCACTTTTTTATATAAACATTTTGTTTGTCTGTGCATCACGTACTATGTTCATGGCTATATAATATATTAGTAAGCAATATTGTAATTTTATTTAAACCTGCATGAGTTAGATGCTTTGGTTATGATAAAGAATGTTGATTGTAATTGAAGAGTAGAAGAAAAACAGAAGGTATTCAGAACCTTTTCTCCAGGAAAAGATATGATAAACCCCTAACACCTAGTATAAAGAGGTTCTTTATTCTGCCAATGACATATGGCTCGATATAATGTATTTTTTATAAATTCCACACAAAAAGTTCTGAACAGATATTGTTCAGATGCTATATTAGTATAGTGTGTAACACGGGTCATCACATCACATCAATAGCCTTTATTAGTCCACTCCTGGGCATGGGCCTCTCCTTAGAAAGGAGGTTTTGGCCTACTCTTTTTGCTCCCTTAGTCGGCTCTCACGAAACCCACGGGATGAACAGACGCAGGTCGCAGCCAGTCAATACTATAGCTACATAAATATTGTGCTGTATCCAGTTACCATTTCGAAAAAGTGAATTAGGATACTAAGAATCAAGGTCGGTGTATGCTAAAAAACAATATTATTAATTTAACACGGTCCACAAATAATCATTTTTAAGTTTCTAGAATAATAAAAAAAACTGCTTTACGATTCAGCTATTACTTTTTTTTTTGTTTCGCTTTTATGTCCGTTTTGTCTATAAGTAAATATTTAACATTAATAAATTAAATATTTACAATTGTTTTATAGAAAATATAGTATTTAACTCACCAATACGTAATAATCCAGACAAGCGATATTTACGGCCAGTCGACGGCGCTTGCGCATGCCTAACAATTTAGGCCAATTTATTCTGAGTACGAACGCGTGAAAACGATTGTAAACTCATTATTTGTACATTTTGTATGTAGAGATTTATTTTAGATGGAAAATTAAGAACGAAGCTATTAAGCAACGAATTCAAGAATGCGAATGAATATAGCGATAACAGCAGTCATTTAAAGAAGAGTCTTCAGACTATAAAAATAGAAATGCCTTTACACTAAAGTTATGCGCCGTCTACTTTTATGTTTAATACATTGATTGCCACTAACTCCTGGTTTTGAATTAAAAAAAAATAGTTTCTTTTAATTTCCCCATTAAATGTCGTATAGTTCTGCAATAATTGATGTTTGTTTTTGAACCTCTCCTTAACTGGTAACCTGGTAACCTGCTATTCTTTTCAGCCTAAGCTGTATCAATCATTTGTCCTGTGACTAAGGCAGATCTTAATACTTGACGACATTATATTTTCCTTTATTTTAGATATATATTTATTTCATTTTTATTTTTTAACTCCTGAACTGCTGCTGCTTTTTAAACGAGAGCTCCGGTCCTCCTTCTTTTGCTAACTTACAAGGCTCTCACAGTTCTCTACAAATCTTTCACAATTTGTATATATATTAATATTGTAGATAGCATTATCCAGATTACGTAGTTGTATTTAAATATTGAGACACACAAATCCTACAATTAATAACTGAGAGATAACGTCATTCTTATTTTTATAGAAGTCAGAGGTCAAAGTCTGCATAATCGTACATGATTTGATAAAAATATATTTAAACAGGTGTTTGACATTGGAAATTAAGAATCCATGCACGTATAAAAATTTAAATTACAAGGTATTGATATGATAAAAGAAATATTGAAACACTCAAGTTTTTTATATCGTGTGAAAATCTAAGCCACAGTGAGTTTCGTCACAAGTGAGACTTTGCAGGAGACCCTGAGAAGGATGCCTTTCAGACTCACTTTTGACTCCCCCACACTTACTCCACAAATTCCACAATTATTAAATACTAGCTTTTGCACGCGGTTTCGCCCGCGTATATGTCAGTTATCATGGTAAAAAGTAGCCTATGTTAATCGCTGATAATGTAGTTTTCCATTTCAGAAATATTTTTTTGGATAAAGAGAGACGCGTGTGTGTGTTACATAACACCTTTTTTATCAAGATGAGACCCAAAGAGGATTCTAGGCGTAAAGACTATATCGATAGAGATAAATGTAAATAAAAAATACTGAAAGTCCAATTAGTTTGTAAGTACATTGTTACTGACGAAATGGAATGTTATATAAATTTTACAAAAATATTATTATATTAGAAAATAAGAAAAAGAAAATTAAACTATTAGAGACCGTTTCTTTAAAATCTGTTAAAATGCCTATCAACTTTTTTGTACTACTACTGTAAATATAGTAGCCACCTTCACAAAATGTGTAGTGGTTACTCCTCTACATATTATTATCTAATCAATCCCAGGGCCACAACCTCGTCTGTTCAAGAGGGTCCCTCGCAGTCTGTACGACTTCCTTTGTTCATAACATTATAGGCATACATGAGGTCAATCTATGTAAGTTGTGTTGGAAACCGTGAGATGAATTTGATCAACTTCAACTTCTTAAGGTAAATAAACTAATCTTAAGGTATTAATAATAAGGACATGTTAGCGGCCTGATTGCACCAAAATGCGATCGGGCTCCAAGACTTAGTGATAGGGGGAAGCGGGGGAAAGCTTCTGGCTTCCATCGGGATAGGGCTTGGTTAGGTGCGGCGTAGATTCAAGTCCACCTGACATCTCATGGTGTCAAAAATATTAGGGAATCAAACCCCGGGACTTACGCGGGAACCCCTACTAACGTAAGCCCTTCCCTTAGCAGTTCCAATAAAAAAATTAACAAACAAATATCAGGTAAGTATAGTTAAAAAATAATTAAGACTAAAATATGTTTTTTTTCGGTATACCTTCCTCTGTTACATTAATTTAAATAATATTTCAGATTTAGTCCAATCTTTTAGGTTTTAGACTACTATCAATAGTTTTTTTTTTGTTTTCACTTGTTTAGTATAAAACAATAATACAACAGCAATCTTTTTTCTTACACATTGAGCCCCAAGTTACAATACCTATTGGTACTGTATGTGGAATAGCCTAGTTGCTGAAAAAAATTATACCGAAAGAGGAATACTCCAAAATGCACCTTCTAAGACTTACATTAAGAAATGAGAACTAAAAATCTCGAATGAAAAATCACATATCTCAAACTATTGATTCTGATAGATCCTGTGTGGCCATGAATATGAAATCTCAACATTAGAATGTCCAAAACTAACAAGGACTAATTAAGAACTTGTAAAGTCACGAAAAAAGCCATAGTAAATGCCAAAACACTTGTTATGGAGTTTTTATTCGACCCATTATATAATCTCTATTTACATTATGCACACGAGCTAAAAGGTAGCAAAGCGAAGACAATGGTGCAGGAAACAATAGCCATTGTGACCCTTCGTACAGCCTGAACTCAGAACGGATGATGAGTAGTAACAAGCTGTGAGATTATGTGGTCTATGCCCGATTATAGCCTATCTATCGTAGGTTTAACATCTACAGGCTTATTATCTATTATGTATATACGTGTAACAAAATAGATAGGTGAATGTACCATTACTTAAATAAAAGTGTTTTCGTAATGTAACAAGTAAATATAGATTTTTATCAATTCTTATAGCACAGAAACATAGTGATAGATAGATTATAACCAAATAGATTATATCAATTGATGGATTGGATGAAAAAGCTTTGATGAAATTTCACCTCCAAAAAAAATTAACTTTTGCCTAAAATTTGAAAATGACAATTATTTTAATTTGTAAAAAAATTAAAGTTATTAAAAATTTGTATTTTAAATAGATAAATTTCTTTTTTTAATCTAAACTGAGTAACCAATAACATTTTTAATTATTTGTTAAATTCGAGAGAAAAATTAAAGTTTGTCGATAAAACTGAGTTAAGCCGTCTTAAATGGCTACTATACCAACACATTAGCAAACAGTTAAATTGATAATAAAAAAAACGATGACTAATATAAAACATAAGAAGCCTCGGAACATCATCAAAATATAAAATGATTTCTACAAAACTTCAAGGCTTTTAGTAAAATTTGAGGCATTAAAAATAAATCGATCATAAAACTTTTCACCCCTGGTACTTTGAATTCATGGCACGTCTAAAAACTGTTATTAGATAAGATATAAATCTAAAAATTATTTTGGCTAAAGCAATATTGATAGAAAATACGTGTGGCATTAAGGCCGACTTTGTAAATAAATATTTTGCCAAATAAAATTCACTGAACAAGACATTTTCCGTTGAATTATTACGAAGTCAACTTTCTGTGAATGAGTTTATTCATTGTCTTTAATTGGAGTAGTCATCTATCACTATTAGATATACGTTAATAGTGCGGTCTTAATCATTGACTATAAAACTAAGTTCTCTTATCAAAATAAATAATAATATAGTTTTAATGTGTCGTGGAAAATTTTAAACCAAGAAGCAGGTTAAAATAATTACAACTTAAGCTAATAATCCGTGTTGTAATGACTCAAATAGTTAACACAGCATCAAATGAATTTAATCACCAAAATGTTATCTTGAGTTAAAAATCCACATCAATGTCTGAATTCCCATGATATTAGCTCCTCGTAAATACCTTACCTCGATATCTGTAGAATGTATGCCCCAAGAGTGTATTGATACATCAGAATGCGATAAAAATCACATGGTTGTCTGTCACAGTCATTACGTATCTATACTGCCTACCTTTATAATAATTTAAACCACATCCTACTCAAAACCCAGTATGTACTAGAATAGGGTGGAATTTCGCAAAGTAAAGCCCATTTTTGCCGATAACTTACTTATTACGTCATATCAAGCATAGAATATTTTAATTTATTTATACTTATTCGCTTAAGTTGGACTTCATTGGTATAATATGCACGAACTTCATACTTTTAGCGCTACATGAATCACTGGTGCAAAACTATTTCTGTGATGAAGTTACAATACTCGGTTTTGTTTTGTAAATGTTAAAGTTCAGGTCTCGATTAATTGATTAGAGCATGATTAAAGTTAGGAATTCCTATTAGTTTTAAGGAGTGCGCAAAACGAAGTTGAATTTAGAAGATATTATCAGAATAAATCAACTTACAGTTTCCCATAAGTACGATAAACATTAAACAATCCATATATTCCCGTCGTCATTTCTTCATCAGTCACGTGGTTTCGAAGCTCACTCATCCAAATTCATCGATCCACATATAACACATGGAATTCACCACACTTCACAAAAATTCATCACAGTTATTCATTTACTTATTTATCGATGATGATTACTTTTTATAAATGTCACAGATGACGCTCGCCCTACGTGCCAGTCTTGGCTCAACTGTCGACTTGCAAGTGAAACATTATTGATAACACACGTCACTTATCGCTGACCACTTTATTAATCTGCATCAATTTATTCACGGAGACAATTGGTGGACATTCTTATTGAAACATGGTACTTACCATTGATAACTGACACTGTTTCAAAATAATCAACCCTGCCAAGTAATGTCACTTGCGTGTAGTGATTCATGTTGTAACACCTTGTTTGAGAACTTAATATAGGTTAAAAATAAGAACCACTGTTTAAAAATTAAACATTTATATTTATTCTGTTTTGAATAACACAACTTCTGTCAGAATAAAAACTTCTGTTATTAGTTTTCATATTTGTTGAAGATGTATGGTTTTACTTCGGTGTGTATTTATGGGATACGCGACTAATTTCAGATCCAATGGAAGCCCTCTTATAAGGAGTGTAACGTCTTGCATCGCCGTGGCAAAACGATTCACACTTGAGTAAAACTTTCTTTAATAAAATAAATATAATCCACGTACATAATTGGGGTATCATTCATTCAGAGACATTTATATGAATAATTTAAGCTACTTATCACGCTGATCACTCAAAAATTATATATTATGAAATTCTATTAACTTAAAATTGATCTATGTTTAATCATCTTTCATTAGCATTTGCTAATTTGGTACTATTTATGTCATTCTTATATAAGACACTTTAAACCGTACGACGACTAACACTAAAGTATGGTGAGCTATCAATAAACTGGGAATAAAAATAAATGTTGATTTAAAAAAATTAAACTACTCGTATTAAAGCGAAACATTTCTTAACATAAAAACAAAATAAAATGGTCAGTGTCCTTTTAAGCCAAGGTCACAATAACTTACATTGATAAACGTCTTATCTATAAAATTGTCGTGCGAATCTGCGTTATCTGTGAACATTTGATAAAGTGGGAGTGTCTTATTTGATTATTTTAATGTTCGTAATGTGTAATATTATTTTCATCAAATTGTAATACTTATATTTGAATAGGTTTTGTAGGTATAGACTTCGATTATTCACTTCATTCTAGAGAAGGACAATACCTCATCATAAAAGTGTAAGCTTTTGGAAGAAAAAAATGAGACAGCAATGACTACTTTAGTCAATTAGATTATTCTTAAGTCAGTTCCTACACAATTATTTATAAGTAAATCATTGATGTGAGAGTTGTGGTATTTTTGTATGATTTTGTGTGCAAAAAAGATAAAGATCCGGTATCGAACTTCTTTATCGTTAAACGGTCCGGTTACATTCTACATGTTACCTCAATAGACCCACTTAACCAGTCTTATTTATACCTACTGTTGCTGATAAACATATCCAAATATATTACTAAATACATCCTATTATATCTAAATTAGACTCTAACATAGAACAATTGATAGTCATCATCATACAATAATTTGAGATGGGATCAAACCCATAATCTCTGAGTCTCTCTCTGTCAGTCAGGAATAGTCAGGATTACTGACCACTAAATCAATTTAGACCAGTCGATTTAATATTATTTTCTAATAGTAGTGCATATCTATTAATCTAATTAATAGTTAATACTGGTTGAAACCAGTAGCAATTAAATTATATTTCATTAATGTAGTATAGAAATACAAGTAATCTGTATGAATAATTGTGACATTATCAGACGATGTTAATGAAAGTGGGCAGGTACATACAAGCTAAATAAATGAAATGAAACTTTCTTGCCAATAAATATCAGAATCATAATTTCCGAATTTTAATACTCGTAAGTAGATGTTATCTTAATTGGATATCAGATTAAAGTTGTCGGTAGCAGGGTCATTAAGATTTTTATCGCGAATTCTCTGATTACATAAAGGGGTCCAGATAGTGGTATTATACCCTACAGCTGTTTAAAACTTATGTATTAGTAAACTTAAGTACTATAGTCATGTCCTAGACATGTATAACAATTAGTAATAGTGTATGAGCTCATAGATATTCGGTAATATAATTAGAGTAGTTAATAATTACTTCGCTCATGACCGTAGCATTTGTGTAATGGAGTTTTTAGAAGCAAATATTCGGTTCGGTTTAAAATCAGGTTATTAAAGCATCGTGATTTGTGTGGATGTTATTAAATTAAGTTACTTTTAACCAACTTAAAAAAGAGGAGGTTCTCAATTCCACACTATTTTTTTATATACACCTAAGTTAGCAAACCGATATATACAGCGCCTCTGATGGTCAATCATTATTGTAATGAATTTGTGGCGACTTATAGATATTTTATAAGGAAAACCGATTTTATGATGATAGATCTTAGTCGACTTTAGATATGCTTTCGACGTCGCTTTTTTAATAGAGATTTTGTCAATCAATTAAGGCATCCCTCGCAATTATCTAGTATTAGTATTTTTTGGATGGAGGATTTCTTACATACTTTTTTTGCATCTCTAATAACATCAAAATTGCGTATTGGTCGCATAAATAATTAAGCTAATGGGTGAAAGTATGAAATAACTAAATTAACTTTCTTATTTATAATATTACATTACACACACTAACAAATTTTTATTTGAATAACAATATCTAGTGTACTTTTGGCTGCTTACGAGTACATACATGAACCCAAAAAACATAAGACTCTCTTCTTAGGCATTTGTGTTTCAAATGATTCTAAACCTTAATAGATATGGTACTGAATGAATCGCTACCTAAAGTTTATAGAACATAACTACTTAAATTTATATCCATGTGTCGTATAGTATTGAATAGTTTACCGTCACCCCTAACTATTAAATAATAATTACATATGTTGAGAAGGCACTAAGCTGGCATAACTCTTTCATCGGCAGCACACACAGACATACAAACAAAAATACAGTTTGTACACGTGTAGTCGATTAAGCAGCGGTTCTTGAATGACTGCCACCATGTGTACACCAAGGTTAAATATTTTGAGTCGCAGATAACATTCTTTTAAAACGGGATATATAATATCCATTACGTACAGGTTGTGGTCATATTTCTGGGTTGAATGATACATCCTATAAGTAATCTTCCTAAGAAACCGAGTAATTGAACTTGATAATCAATATATTATATAACAGATAATTGATATGAATGAAGCCATATGTCATTAATATAAGGATGTCGATAGAATGTCCAATTTTTTGTGAAAATATTGAAATAAGTGATAAAAAAAAGAAAATTCCTACGTAATACATTACAGAATAATGTATTTTCTGTTTTTACTTAATCCATTACTTATTCAAGAGTTAAATCAATTATTTCTTGGCTACAAATTTCGCTCCTCTGATCTCAATTATCTCTAACACATGAAACTCCAGGAAACAAATTCCTAAAGTACCCAATTAAACTTAAAATAAACCCATTTCCACCTAAGTTTGCGTGTGAACTATTACAGGCACTTGATACAAATAATTATTATCTACATCGATTTATCCATCCTAGAGTTGAGGTCTCGGGCTATAAGGCACCAAAGGCCACTTACAGTTCAAATCCAGTTACAGTTACACCAGTCTAACCTACTATATAGAGGCAATACTTTCATTCCCCAATTCATATCTACGGTACGGGCGGTATACTATTGGGATCTTGTGTCAACTGTATTTGCGTGCGTTTAGGCGACTCTGCCACACATATTAAAGAAATTAAATATAGCTCACTTAGGACCCATAATATTTTGTGGCCATGCTGTTTCCCTGTTTAAAAGGGGTGTTTGCCTATTTTACTTCATTTTGTCCCCGCTTAGCTAAGGATGGAAGTGGATTCATTATATTTCAACTCCTACAATTTCGGTTCGAAATTCGTTGCGGGTTCCAAGACAGCTTAAATTTTTTATGGGACTTACCGAGTGTCAAACTCGGTGTGTTCGTGGGTTGCTGTTGATCCTGTTGTATAGGAGTTACAGTGATGGGCGTGTGGGAGGGATTAGTCCCATTGAAAAAAAACAATTCATTCTTATAAGCAATATCCTTTTCCTACCAATCTTTTCAATATACTCCTCAATTTTCCCATCTGATTCCTAGAGAGTCCCGTCGACGGACGTTTTTTATACGTGCAAATAACTAAACAAATACACACACCTTATCGACTTGTAATGACAAGAAATGTATATACATACATTTTACAATATTTTTAACCTATCTAACACCTTAATCAAACAACTGATCACCGCAAAGATTTGAACCGTAAATACTGACTCATACTTTGTCTACGTTCCGTACAAAGTTATGACGTCACTAATCACCATTATCCTTGAACTAATGTTTTTATATCGGTTATTAAAAGTAGTACGATAATTGCGCGTAATAAATTGTCTTGCCACATACCAGTACGCAATCAGAGTTAGTTACGGTTAATGACAGTTTGTATATCACGCAAAAAATATTAAAAAAAAAAAGTTTTTGCCAACGGCTTAGCTCGCGTTAAAAGATACACTTATGTCTTGGGAACAGTACTTTTTCTAAATAAAAGGTAAACGTGATGTTCTTTTTGTGTATCTTTGACTAGTTGTATGCTGTATGTTGTATGTATGAGTAGTTACGGCGTCAAATCGTAACAAAAAAACTCACATACGCTCATTGATCTCCTGTCCGCTCCCGAGGGACGTTTCAAGAGGTTCTAAAACATAATTCAAATTACAATATAACTAAGGAGGAAATACATAACTGATGTACGAGTATTAAAATAGAATTTAATATAGTTAATAAAACATCAATCAGCAAGTAATACTATACGTTACGATATCTTTTTTTACTATAATGAAAACGTACA